TGTGAGCGTCTTCTAGATTATGATATCCGGCACTTCGTCCGATCTGAGGTTTCGTCCTTCATAACTGTGAGCATTATCTGTGCTGTGTTAAACTGCGTTGGATCTGCAGTGTGTCCTACGTTGATACTGGGACTTGTGTTATTGTGTTGCGTGTATGTGTCTCGTGAGTGACATTGTACGNTTGTACGACATAACACTAGCGGGGCGGAATTCGGAGTTTACAAACCGTTTAAGACCCGGTTCCATGATGTATGACCACCACATCCAAGGTTCCGAGGTAGACCTGGGAAGACCAACAGTGAAACCCGCGCCACTGAAATAAAGCCAATCGGGTAATTTTAAGTACCACATCCCAACATCGTCTAATCTCGGGCGAAGGGACCTACCCAGCACTCATGAAGACCAGGGAACAGTATTCACCTAATAAAAACAATTTTGAACAATTAAGACGTGACGATATTCAGATGTGCGGAACCAAATACAACACTAAAATGTCTTGTGAACACCTCAGAGCGGTTTAGTCCGTGTGTCGGAACTCACTAACAATGCATATCAACAAATCCAGTTGAACTCCATCGAGCTGTTTTGCTTCACACATCCTCGTACGAGTTAGACCTCTTATGCAACAATTCCATTCGCCAATCGATGTTTTTCCAAACGCAATCATCGAAATATCAGCGTCCTAGAGTCCATTTCACAGTTGCTCGGTTTGTAAATATGAAACTTGGAAACCGAATATGGCAAAAGATACTTCTGCTGCTGCTGGCGGAGAAATCCGCACTGCACAGACACGGGTACAACAACAACAACAACAACAGAGAGGGCAATTCTCCCGGATAAATGAACACTGTTGTTTCTCTGCCACCCGGTGGCATTCAGGTATCGACAGATGTGCTTAGCCTCATTCGGGACAGATGTTTTTACCTCGAATGACGGGCCGCACATTTTATCTCGACTACCTCATTCCCACCCAGATTTCGGATACATTTGTGTATCACTTACCAATCTCTGAATCCTCCAAAATCAAGTAACAACACTATGTTCATTGTGTCACATGAAAGAATGCAAACACAGTCTAGGAGGAGATCCGGCGACATTTCTACGAAAGAAATTGAGGCCGGATCCCTACCCACTCTGACCTGAAGAATAACTTTGAAACGATCGATGATACAATCAACAGCCATGGCTAGGATGGCTACCATGGCAAGGGCATATGTATAGTTAAAAAATGGACAATTATTCCTCTACAGGCACAAATCAAGCACTGGGATATCGGTGCCTACCTAGGTGACTAAGCTGGAACCGGCCGTAATGCGTCACTAGATTAGATCGAGTATGCGTGACCGGTTGTTGGCAGATGAAGTCAATCTAACTGAATGCAATACCCTCACATCTGTCTACCGGATGACAGGGGGTTTACCTTCATCATCCAGATCCGATAGGTCAAGATCATCCAGCATCACTGACGGAAGTTGATTGTGATCTGTTAAATGAGAAATCTTCCTCAGCTCACGACCAACCTTAGTGTATTACTGCAAGTGATTGAGAACTGTCTCCTTCCAAAATAAACTCGTTATAGTAACCATTTTACATCACCACCTGAAAAACATACATACAGATGAAAAAACAGGTGACAAGTTTAGACGGAGTCCCAAACAGCATGAAACAGCTGTCCAGTGCTCTTTTTTGGTCATTAGAGATATTTCCATAGCTGACAAGACTTGTACGAACCAAACAGGTTTCTTTTATAGATCCCCGTCGCAATCCAAGTATCACTGTGGTATTTCGCTTTGACTAGCAGATATTTCAGCATATTGGGGAGGGTGGGGGTTGGAGTGAGAGGTAAAACATCCGACATACACACACACAAACGTATCTAAAGCTGGATGTATCACAAAATGCGCAAAATAGACTGTTCACAATCTCATATACTTTCCCGGTTCATGACTGATGTTGTGCGACGAGATGGTTTTGAGTTCTGAAGTAACATACATCTTGTGTGAGTATGTTCATTATTATACGGTTCTAGAAACTACAATTCGAACCAAAATTTGACATCCAGTCTATACGACATAATGAATAAATTTAGCATCGCAAGCGGACGGAAAATCGTCATGTATAATTTTCAACGTTATCTTTGTTACAAACAGCACTAAAACCCGCGTAAAGCTTCTCGGGTTGATACCGAACTGGATGCATTCAAGAGACCCCTTTTGCCACGAATAATGTCGTTCAGATTTTGAAGGCGAACTCTGAGTTCTGCTAATACTTACTTCAGACATTAAAATTGGTGCTACACTATAAGCGAACGAACCAGGGGCCCAGAAGAACCACATCACAATCAACCACTACTGAGGAAGGCTATGCGTGGGACTGTTCATCGCACTGGTTCATTCGCGTAAACTCTGAGCTAGTTTGCATCTATATCCCTATGGGTAATGATAGACGTCCGGTTAGCTGTTAGCCGAATGCTTCAACCCACTGTATAACAATCGAGACTCTTAAGAAAACTCACTTTTGTGGGCGAAGCGGAGGAATAATGAGATCGCTTTGGACGGTACAGACAAGGCCTTGTACCAGCGTCCAGTTGGGGGTAAATATTGCGAGAACTCCTCGATTGAATCTAACGCCTCTGTGGACACGTGCAAAGAACGATTGGCTGACACGGGACCAGGGGAATCGATGTCCGCTGAGCCGGACAGTGTATTTTCCGTTTCCGCTCCTGGGGAAGAAGCTTGAGTGTGCTGTGTTTGCGTATCTGCTTCCAACGCTTCTTTGCTCTCAATAAACGAGGCCAATGCGGCCGCGGCGGCCAACGCCACACGGCGATCAAACGGTTCCGCGCTGTCTACCATCACTCGGAGCACCGTGTTAGCGTTGGAAAATACAATATTGCCTATGGAAAGTTGAAAAACCACAAAGTTGAAACATTTATTTCCCGAGATAAACTTGACCGGAGAGCACAACAAAGCTGGGTTGCACGATTTATGCTAAGGCAGATTTCTCCGGATTTTAACTAGTACAGAAAATTACAGTTTATATCACATCGTACCGTACTGTATCAGTTGAGGTGCAGCGAAATCCACTCTAGCATAAATCGTGCAACCTAGCTTTGTTGTGCTCTCTTCAAATCAAAAAGTTTTTGAAAAACAGGGAGGCATACTAACTCGTATCGTTTTTTAGAGAAAGGAACCATGAAATGACCCTTTGCTGTTTGTAAACACTCCCCACCCCCGTTAGATATGTTCCCTGTGACCGTTGGCACTTATATTATCTCAACCGTAAGCTAAGCACCAGTGTTTGCGGAAATTACACACAACACAATACAAAGGGTACCGGTTTGTCCGGTATAAGTGAAATAGTTTCGCTGTAGTAGTAGTGCTATATATCAACAAGGCGGTGCTTGGTCGAAGAGAGTTGTTTATTACGGATCACAGTTAGGATATCGATGGTTTGGCGTACATATAACATGAAGTCTCATTTTGAACATACCATTACAAACCCCCGGCAACACACAGGATAATGAATGGAACAGACTGTGGTTACCATTTCAAACAACAATTCGCTCCAAAAGAGCCTTTTCATCTTTGAATGTTGAAACAAACCGTCAACCGCATCCTTTTGCATACTACTCACAAATGTGAGTAGTACCTAACAACTGTAGTTGTAATAGTACACGCAGATATTACAATGAAGCTCATATATACAGAGAAAGCAGCACGTAGAACAAAGACGGAATAGCATGCATTCACAATAAGGGAATTGACACGAATTGAACACCTACATTAAATTAGTCCACCCATGTGCCACAAATGTTGACTGCGTAGGCAACGGGTTCGGGTTCCAGCTCTTCTCGGTTTGAGCCCCAGTGATGAGATACGAAAGTAGTGTGAATAACTGATAAGCCGTAACAAGTGCAAAACAGTTGTCCAGTTCTCTTTGTTGGTAATCGTATAAAATTCAATTATAATTAAAAAAAACATCTTACTTATCTATCCGAAGAATTGTAAGCTACCGAAAGCTTGCATACGGTACAACATTTTAGTGAGGTAAGTTACCCACATCAATCAATATGTTCAGATTAGAAGCGCAAATTATGACTGCGTGTACGTGCAAAATGGAAACGATCAGTATGCGCCTAAGTCGCAAATCAAACTACCAGATGATGTATAAACACAGAAAATAAAATGAAATCAAGGTGCAACAAGCGGTAGAACAGAGACGAACAGGAGAGAGGGAGAGTAACAGTGTTTAACCTGTACTGAAAGGCGAAGGAGTATATGTAACCAATTGCCCTGAGACAGTGACGGAGATAACAGTGAAATAGAGAATATTTTACGACTTTGTAACAAGCCAGACGTGTGTGCGTGGAAGAGAATAACCTGTGCAGCCTATGATTTGGCTGGCACGTTTTGTGATTCACCTTTGTCTCTGAGGGTGATGAGAAAGGCGACCGGTAGAAGTACACAACCCGTTGTACAACTCCGGTGGTGGTGCTAGCACAAACCGAGAGCCGTGTATTAAACAGCATATTGCGGAACCGAATCGTATTGTTGTTGAACAAGCATAACCCCTGTCCGTCCAAAATGTGTGGGAAAACAACACTGAGCGGTACGTGTAAGTAAATGGTGTGAAACCTGCTGACCCAGGGTCAAACTATCCATATGACATTCACATGGCATTTACACCCGAGCGCTTTCCAATCGGATTGAATCGGGTGGATTGAAATGAATAAGAGACTCTGTCTAGGTGTGTGTTTCAGATGATGATTAAACAGGCTGCATAAAAATTAAGTGGATCGATCGAGGTATAAAATGTGCATAGGATTAAGATAGACTAAGAGAGGCTATGTGGTCGCATGTTCCTGACAGATGGCTACTGGTACAACCGTTGCACATACTCGGATTCACTAGGTCTTGCGACAATCCAGTTTCTATATTCGGTACGATTAACACGGTCTTCAGCGAACGTTGGTCAAGAAGAATGAATTTTGAAAAAAGTTCAGATAAAAACATTTTCATCACACGAAAACAAATTACAGCGGAAAGGAAAATCCCAATACCTATTATCAATTCCTGTCGAAACGAGTTTGTTGATTTGATGCTCGAAAACACGAACATAGAGTATGAACGGAGAAACAAGGAAAGAAAGCAAAAAGGAGCTCGATAACCGGACAACATTTCTATAGAAACGGAGGTGTGAAGCCATATGTGCAGAAAATCACTTCTCAATTAGCAAGGGGTAGAAGCATTCAGTACCGAAAAGAAAACCAATCATTGGTTACAAGTGAAACTGTCGTATACAGAGTCTAAGAGAAAGATGAAGAACAATGAAGCAAAGATAAAGCGGGGTTCAGAACGAAAGGAATCCTCGATTACTTCAAAAACTCCGATAATTTTTGCACTTTTTGAGAAAGACCATGAGAAAGTAAGATGTTTTGGGTACAGGTATTTCGACTGCGCCCTTAGCATTACATTCTGCTGCGTTACAATATATTTTATATTTGGCAAACTACTTACGCCAGTTAGTCGAAAATGATTCCTTCAGTCAACTGGCCTACGCCCCTCCCCACCCCGAATGGTTCCCACTCTTCTGGTTTTTGGTTAACGTTTCAAGCTCACTAGTTGTCTTGATGTGTTCTCACGTGTTTTCGTTACGTGATTATTTGACCGTTTCATTTTCCGTCCTCACGCATACCCGACTCTCGTTTCCCACCAAACATCCTCCTACGGAATCGTCATACTTAACCAACTAACTGATATAAAGTGTACCCCAACATCGCCAAATTTGCCATTGCAGATAGGGTTGAAACGTCTGTGCACAAAACATCTTACTTTCTCAGGCTGTCTGTCCTCAAAATCATTCCTGCCAACCCATATTTCAACTTTCATTTCATCAACACAGGAAAAAGACAAGTGTCGCGAGATGTTACCATTTCGTTTAATCCTCTCAATCGCTGACTTAAAATAAACAGGCGCATATATCGCGTATGGGATTGATCAATTATGGTGAACGAACGTGTACAAACAAGAAAAGAATTCAATGTTCAATTGTACTTCGCAGTCTGCTGTGTCCACTTCAGCATATTTGGGTGTTTACCCAATCGTGTTTTATTGTTCACCAGTAATTTTCCTTGTTTTACTTGAATGAGACTTTCAAATGTCCGGCCACTAGGGATAACTATTCCCATTCTCTCGACTCCCGTAAATGGGTTAACTTTAAACGTTTTGCAAGTGTGTTTCGCAATTTAACGCGGTCTAAACCCTGGACTATACAGTACTGTATGAAAGGTTTCGGTATCTCAAGAACTTGGCTATTTCGCACATTGTATTTAATATGCTGGTCGATGTGCAAAGTGTTATTATTTACTTTTCAACTAAAATCTACACTGCTGTGCTCGCACAGGTGACACAAGGAAAGTGAGAATCACTTAAACAAAAAAATTAACAGAAACGAAGGCATTTTAGAATGTGGGCTGTGTAACACAGTCCATCAATTTACTGATGTGCACAAGTGCAGTCAATAGTGAACTTCCGAGAAGTGAAGAATTAATTTGTGCATAAATTACAGCAAGGGATCAAATGCCGGAGATTATAATGCAAGAGCCAGAAGTAAAGCAACCGTTAAGCCAAGGCAAGGCCCCAATGCCTTATGGATTCGACTTTTGAGTCAAAGGCTCCGGTTAGGGTTCCCAAAGAAAAAACCCTCCGTCGGTGTGGGCTAC